GTTTTAAAGAACTTAGTTACTGTAAATCAGATGTTCTGAATTCATCTCACAGCAGGTGATTGGAGAACTGTGTTTTCTTCTCTGTCTCAGGCTGGCCGTTTGATGTGGTGACCTGTAAAATGAGTGGACTCGTGCAGGGAGCTTCAGTCTCGGCGTCGGTCTTCACGCTGGTGGCCATCGCGGTGGAAAGGTTAATAGCTCTCACCTCCTGCACTTCACATGGATATAAACAAGCACCATCATTCAGACAGAATGACGCTGTGTACCGAGCTCATCTGCACTCCTACTGTACATGCAAACCCAGCTCTGCTCAATCATTCTGGCTCTTTGGCTCTTTCTGTGTGACTTCAGCCAAAAAAGGACCGTTCTGTCATCATTTACTCAAGAGTGCACCCTCATGTCCTCCTAAACTCTCTCTCTCTCTCTCTTCTGTGGAGCACAAAAACATTCAGCTCTCATGTGACTTTAGAAGAATATGAATCACTGCTATAAAACTTCTGCTTGGACACTGACAATCAATCAATCAATCAATCAAACTGTCATCACTTTGATGTCATAATTTCTCATTTTGACCTTATAATTATGACTTTTTATGTCATAATTCTGACTTAGTATGTCATAATGTCAAACTTTTTTCTCATAATTATGACTTTTTGTAATAATTTTGAATTTGTAATCATATCATTCAAAAAAAATTGGCATAATTTTGATTTTATCATCCCACAATTTAGACTTTTTATTTAATAATCTTGATATGTTATTTAGATTTTTTGATGATTTCTACTTTTTACCTTAAAATTATGACCTTTTATGCCATATTAATGACTTCGTCCTTTTCAGTCCCATAATTTTGAGTTTAATAATTGTGATATTTGATGTAAATTTTTTAATGACTTTTATGTCATAATTATGGCATAGTATGTCAAAATGTAAACTTTTTTCATCATAACTATGGCTTTGTCATAATATTTACTGTTCAATTACATAATGACTTCTTAAATTTAGAATTTTGACTTTTTATTTAATAATTGTGATATTTAGTCGATTTTTTCCGATAATTTTGTCTTTTTATATCATAATGTCAGACAGTCAGTCTCTGAGCAGGCAGTTGTTGTCTCGAATAAGATGAAATATTATGGAAGCCCATTTCCAACATTTGAGAAAAGACATTTCATAATTTGACAAAAAATGTCAAGATTATGACATTAAAATCATGACATATTAACTCATAATTACTGACTGAAGATTTTTGACTTTTTATGTCATAAAGACTTTGTCATAATTATGACTTAGTATGTCATAATTACTATTTTTATCTCATAATTATGATTGTCACAACTTTGAATTTTTCCTCAATTATGACTGTCATATTTTTGACTGTATATCTCGTAATTGGGACTCAGTATGTCATAATTTAAAAAAAATCTAAATTAGAAAAATTTATTTTCTCAATTAAGAGCGAGATTAAACTAATAATGACTTTTTAATCTCAGTTTAATTTTTTGTGATAATATTGACTTTTTGATCTCATAATTCCAAATTTAATTCAGAATTTAAATTTTTTGTTTAATAATTATGACAATTGTTCATTTTTATCTCATAATTTTATTCACTTTTTATCTGATAATGTATGTCATAATTTCGACATTTTACCTCATAATTATAAGTTTTTATGTCAATTTAGATTTTTTTTATCTCATAATTTTAATTCTTATTTCATAGCTATGAAATTTTATACCATAATTCCAACTTTTTCTCATATTTTATGACAATTTCGATATTTTAATCTCATAAATTTGACTTTTTCTTTTATAACCAAGACATTTTATGTCATAATTTCAGTTTATGTCATAATTGTGACTTTATTTCAATTTATTAATCTCAGATTTTTTATCCATAATGTTCAACTTTTTAAATCTCATAATTTTGACTTAATATTTAATAACTATGACATATTTTTTTTAAGTCAATTTTGACTTTTATGTAACGATTTCAACTTTTTATCTGATAATTTTGACTTAGTTTTTCATAATTTTAACTTTTTATCTCATAATTATGACTCGATTTTGTTGTCATAATTTGGACTTTTTAATTTCATAATCTCAATTTTGTGGTTATTTTGATTTTTTTTTTAAATCTCATAATTTAGTTTTATTTATTTTAGGATTTTCATTTTTAGTTTTTTTTCATAATTACGTCATAATTGAATTTTTATCTTATAATTTTGACTTTTTAATCTCAATTTAATTTTGTAATAAATTTGTCATTTTAAATCTCATAATTAAAATTTTTTGTTATCATTTTGACTTTAATCTCATAATATTAATATTTGGACATTTAATCATATAATTTTGATTTGTTAATCTCAGAATTTTCGTTTTTTATTTCTGAATTATGATATTTTGTCATCATTTCGACTTTTTATCTCATAATTATGAGTATGTAATCATTTCGGCTTTCCCTCTCGTGATTATTACTTTTATGCCATCATTTTGTTATTTTTTTTATCTCATAATTTTTTACTTTTTAAATGTCATAAATTTCATTTTGAAATTTACATTTTGTAATAACATGAACGTTTTATGTCATCATTTCAATTTAGTGGTCATCATTTTGACTTTTTATTTTTTTTTAATCTCATAATTTAGTTTTATTTATTTTAGGATTTTCATTTTTAGTTTTTTTTCATAATTACGTCATAATTGAATTTTTATCTTATAATTTTGACTTTTTAATCTCAATTTAATTTTGTAATAAATTTGTCATTTTAAATCTCATAATTAAAATTTTTTGTTATCATTTTGACTTTAATCTCATAATATTAATATTTGGACATTTAATCATATAATTTTGATTTGTTAATCTCAGAATTTTCGTTTTTTATTTCTGAATTATGATATTTTGTCATCATTTCGACTTTTTATCTCATAATTATGAGTATGTAATCATTTCGGCTTTCCCTCTCGTGATTATGACTTTTATGCCATCATTTTGTTATTTTTTTTATCTCATAATTTTTTACTTTTTAAATGTCATAAATTTCATTTTGAAATTTACATTTTGTAATAACATGAACGTTTTATGTCATCATTTCAATTTAGTGGTCATCATTTTGACTTTTTAATCTCATAATTATGGTTTACAAAAACATGATTTTTCCCCATACAGACCGTTCAGATAATCTCGGTTTCCTGCGTTCCAGATTTCGTTGCATCGTCTATCCGTTCCAGCGGAAGCTGACGCAGCGGCAGGCCATCATCACCATCACCTTCATCTGGGCGCTGGCTGTGGGCATCATGTGTCCGTCCGCCGTCACGCTGACCGTCTCGCAGGACCTCCTGCACTTCATGGTGGACCGGGACAACGTCACGTACCCGCTGTACACCTGCTGGGAGGCCTGGCCCGACCAGAGCATGAGGAAGATCTACACCACCGTCCTCTTCTCGCACATCTACCTGGCTCCGGTCACGCTCATCGTCATCATGTACACGCGCATCGCCGTCAAGCTGGTCAAATCGCCCGCGTCTATCCGGGACGCGCACGCGGAGGACGAGAGCCGCCGGGTTTTCCGCAGGAAGCTGCGCGTGGTGAACATGCTGCTGATCGTGGCGCTGCTCTTCACCGTCTCCTGGCTGCCGCTCTGGATCCTCATGATGCTGACGGACTACGGCAATCTGTCGGCCACTCAGCTGGATCTGGTGGCCGTCTACGTCTTCCCGTTCGCTCACTGGCTGGCCTTCTTCAACAGCAGCGTCAACCCCATCGTGTACGGCTACTTCAACGAGAACTTCCGCCGTGGCTTTCAGGCGGCGTTTAAGATGGGCCTGTGTCTGGTGGACGAGCCGCCGCAGCCCAGACGCAATGACACGTGGAAACACAACCGTGTGTTTGCGGACAGAGACAGGCCGGACGCTCAGAACAACGGCAGGAGAGAGTTCTGCAGCGGAGAGCAGAGAGACGAGCTGGTGCTGGAGGATCTGGACTGAGACGCTTACACACACTGGGGAGGTCGTGGCCTAATGGTTAGAGAGTCGGACTCATAACCCAAAGGTTGCACACAAGCACACACACACACACACACACACACACTCACACACACTCTCACACACACACACACACACTGACAGCAGGGCTACACGGTTTGGGAAAAAAACCAAAAACAAATGGCAAAGTTTCTGATAAAAATTAGGATTGCGAATTAAAATGTGTTTATATATTTTTTAAAAAGCTACAGGTTTGTTGTGCTTGGCTGCACAATTTGACCCAAATGAGGAGCGTCCTGCATTCATGCGCTGAGACACTTACAAACCCTCACACAGGCTCCTGTGAAACCACTGCACTCACACACACACACACTCTCACACACACACTCACTCACTACAGGTTTGTTGTGCTTGGCTGCACAATTTGACCCAAATGTTAATATAATAATGCTAATATAATATTATTATCATTATTTTTTTTTACTTAATAAAACATTAAAATAACAATTAATATGATTGTAATATTTAACTGAAATATAAAAAGTTCTAGTATTTAAGAAAAACATAATAATAATAATTATTATTATTATTATTATTAAGACTATTGTAATATTTTACTACAATGAAATATAAACAAATACTATTGTAACATTTTACTGTAAAATAAAGATCTACTATTTAAAAAATAATAATTGTATTATTATTATTACTATTATTATTAAAATAAGAAATATTACTATTTTAATATTTCACTGTGAAAAAAAATCTAGTATTTATGAAAATAATAATAATAATAATGCATAATAAATATTATTACTGTTATTAACAATATTTCTGATAATAATAATAACTATTATTATTATTAACAAGGTAAGACATATTACTATTGTAATATTTCACTATTAATGTAATATTTTTACAATATAACTATAATATTGTAATTTTCCACTGTAAAATAAAGAGATAGTATTTAAGAAATATATAATAGTAACATCAATAAAAATATAAATATTACTATTGAGGTAAGAAATATTAATATTTTCCTTCAATACTAGACCTTTTTATTTTACACTGAAATATTACAGTAGTAATATTGTAATACTTTACTGTAGGGAAATATTACAATATTAATACTGAGCTTAAGACAGCCGAAAATAATAATATAGTAAAATAAAATTATTGTTATTATTGGCTGTCTTAAGCTCTTCATTTTCAAAAGTTAAACATTAAATTACAGCCTTGATAATTGCACTAAGCCATATCATGATTTCTTTTTAATTAATCATGCAGCATTTAACTGAGAATCAACTCATATTAAAGGAATAGTTCACCCCAAATTCATATTCACCCTGTTCATGAATCATGCATGAATCATATGAGCTACTGTCATGATACTTTTATTTACTGCACTGAAAACAGAAGCTCTCTTCTTCTGCTGCAGAAATATAAAGCACACGCACACTAAACGCGTTCATTAAGTGCGAGAAAAACAGTCACTGTATTAAATGATTCATGGACTGATATGTGTGTGTATTTGGAGGTTGTTGTTTGCAGTGTTCTTCTGTTTGATATGCAGATGCATGTAAAACTATTTGCTCTATAAAACAAACAGCAATTACTATTCATGCTGTGAAGTGTCCGTTTGCTCCTTCAGAAAACACTGGCAGCTAATTAGAGAAATTAAGATGTAAACATTCAAATACCTGTGAAAATGCCTTTTTATAAGTAATGTTTCTTGAAAAAGCTGACAGTCCACAAACGACACATATGAATATTTAAAGTTAAAAATATTTAAAAATACATTTTAAAAAACTCTAATCAACTTTAATGAATCTTTAACTCAAAGTTATATTTATATGGGAGACCGGGGCAAGTTGTCACACTATTTGCACTTCTGTATCGAAACAAACAAAAACTACTGCAAAATTTCAACATCACTGCCTGCAAAAAAATATACAACCCATTGTGGGGCATGTTGTCACACTGTATGGGGTAAGCTGTCACAATGCAAACCCGCCATTAAACAGGTTTTGTACTATAATTTAGACAGTAAAACGATAACTCAATTCTTGAAACAGTAAAAATGGAAAAGATAAATACAAAGAGATCAAACCATTAATTTTGGCTCACAGAAATGACAGAAAACAGTTACTAAAATGACAACAGTTCAACGCGTGTGACAACTTCCCCCGATCTGACACTTGCATTTTTATAGATGTTTGAAATAAACACAGAAAACCAACATTGTGCAAAACATCTGCAATATTTACCTTGTGACAACTAGCCCCAGTCTGTTTTATAAGTGACTCACTGCTGCAGTGGTTTTGTGTGAGTAAGTGTGATAGTGTCACAGTCACTTTTGTTCTTTATGTTGGCATCTTTGATCCACTTGAGTGAACTCGAGCACGAAATAACATCTCTGACCTCTATGAGCAGCAGCGTATCCATCCGTTTGATTGACAGCTGAAGATCTGCTCACTGGTGAATCCGCAGGAGACAGCCATCCAATCACAGTTACTCTGTACGTTTGCAAAAAAAAAAAAACATTCATTATGATTTATGTCATCAGAATACATGACTCCTGAATGCTTTTAGAAGCCAAATGGTGTAATTACCAATACTAACCAGCCAAACCTTGACCCGCTCCAGGGCATATTATAAATCTAAACCATTAAAAACAGCTCAACTAATCTACAATCCAACTGTTAAAGTCAAGAAATCCAAACTGTCCTGAGACATTGCTGGTCTTACTGTGAATGTAATCTTATAAGTGCTCGTTTTTATTTCATAAACTTTCTTCAAAATATAAATGCTTCTGAAATGACTTTTCTTGTCGACTGTTGGTTAATATTAACCGGTAACCAAATGTCTAGTTCTAGGCTGCTGTTGTAGGTGATGCAGTCTTTCTGAAATCTATTATCAGTACTTTAATGCTGGTCAACATTAATATAATAGAGGTTACAGCAATGATATCAACTAATAATAGACAACAACAACAATAATAATGGTGGTGGTGATAATAATAATAATAATAATGATGATGGGGATGATGATGATAA